ATCCAGCTTGTATTACTGATTGCGGTTATCAAATTGTTGTCTCCTCGCCGTTTGTTCAAATTATTATTATTATTATTATTATTATTATTATTATTATTATTATTATTATTATTATTATTATGACGACTTTATTCACTCCCAAAGCAGAAAAAGAAAGCTTGAAAGGAGGCATGAAGCACAGCACCGGGATCCATATGACCCAAGGGTGAAGCACCAATCAATGAAGATAAAAGAAAATCCTGAACCAAATTTTGATAAACTTCATGAGAGAAAAATTCAAGTATACCAACTTCGATACTCACATAAAATCACAGTCATGTATAACAGAACTACTCAAGTAGTAAACACCAAGCATGCTGCACATGGGACACTCCAAGCAAGACAAACTCAGACGAGATAAAACGGCATATGCAGAGAAAGACAATACATGACTGGGGGCATATGGCAGAAATTCACGCCTCTCGGCTCGTCACACAGCACATGATGCACCACAATCATAAAACACACAGACTGAGACACGTCGAGACATTACGGGCAGGCTAACATAAGGTCAACCGACCGTTCCGACCATGCCACTCTCCCATCCATGACCAGTCACCGACCGCACAATTCTCAGGGTGCCCAGAATAGCACATTGCTGCAGCCGCTGGATCACGGACGCGTGGAGCCCAAGGCTTAAGATGTGGCTGCGGCTCGTTCCTGACACACCACCCAGAGCACCAATGATAACTGGAACAATAGTTATCTTTTTGTTCCAGATCCTCCTCAGCTCTGCTGCCAAGGGCAGGTATTTGCTGATCTTCTCCTGCACCTTCTCATTGACCCTGTGGTCCAATGGGACACTGACGTCCAAGAGCAGTGCCCGATCATCCAGAACCAGCACCAGGTCTGGTCTGTTCGCTTTTATTACTCGATCTGTGGGAATGGAAATCTCCCACATCAGCTTGCAACTGGCAGAACTTGTGACCTGCACCAGCTGCTTACTGCTGGGTAATCCATGCTGCTTACACAGCGCACGATGCAGGGCCTGGACCACAAAGTTATGCCGGGCAATGTATGCAGTCCGTGCCAGGGCTGGACAGCAGGCGATGATATGGTCCATATTTTCTCCGGGTGCACCACATACACGACAGAGGTCCACGACATCATGCCTCTTGTGGATATGGCGCATATTGTTTCTCGTGGCAATCACCTGATCCTGGCAAGCAATGAGAAAGCCTTCCGTTTCAGGACGCATTGTCTGGGATCTGAAACAGGAAAACGAGAGCTGCATGTCCAGGATGCCATCAACACGCGCCCAATAGCGACCATGAAGAGGCATCGCTCGAAGTTCACGGCGGCGGTTGTCATTGAGGGCCTGTTTAACAGTCTCTTTGTTAGCGGTGTCCAGTTATTATTATTATTATTATTATTATTATTATTATTATTATTATTATTATTATTATTATTATTATTATTATTATTATTATTATTATTATTATTATTATTATTATTATTATTATTATTATTATTATTATTATTATTATTATTATTATTATTATTATTATTATTATTATTATTATTATTATTATTATTATTATTATTATTATTATTATTATTATTATTAACTGGTTTGAGGGAAAGAGACAAACGGGAAAAGTCTGAAGAAAAAATGGACTGTCACCACCAGGACTCGAACCAGGGACCCTCGCTTGTAGCCAGCGATGCTCTAACCACTGAGCTATGGTGTAGTCGTCATCCCAGCAGAGACCGTTCAACGTTTTCTTCAGACTTCGTAACTCACACTTCCTGTGAATCCACACAGGCGGGTGGGACGCAGCCCTCACTGTAACCCACACACTTCACGCACAAACTAGCACGCGGGGAGCCCCAAGTCATAAAATATTAACTGGTTTGAGGGAAAGAGACAAACGGGAAAAGTCTGAAGAAAAAATGGACTGTCACCACCAGGACTCGAACCAGGGACCCTCGCTTGTAGCCAGCGATGCTCTAACCACTGAGCTATGGTGTAGTCGTCATCCCAGCAGAGACCGTTCAACGTTTTCTTCAGACTTCGTAACTCACACTTCCTGTGAATCCACACAGGCGGGTGGGACGCAGCCCTCACTGTAACCCACACACTTCACGCACAAACTAGCACGCGGTTATTATTATTATTATTATTATTATTATTATTATTATTATTATTATTATTATTATTATTATTATTATTATTATTATTATTATTATTATTATTATTATTATTATTATTATTATTATTATTATTATTGTGGAAGAGAAAAGGACATATGGATACGAGTTAAGAGTAACTCTCCATCACTGTAACATGATACTATATACAGTCAGAAAGTGCAATAACTAGGCACAAAACTGACAGAGTACTGAAACATTCGACGTCCTGACACCTAGCTTTAACACATCTCCGTAGCGCTAATCGATGTCATGCATGAGGAGTACTGTAGGAGTTTGGCTTTCGGCTTGTACAATTCGTTTTCGCAAAGCTTCCCTTTCTTTACTTATCTTTGATATTTATGACCCACCCAAGTTGGGTGGTGTGCTGCTTTGCTGCTTCGAATTGTAGTTAGACCGCTTTGTCAAATATCGTACTGGTCTCGTCATCGTCCAGTAACAATCGACATTCTTTGTTCCGTTTGGACTGTGGCTTTTGCTCGTTTTCGTTGCGCTTGCCTTCCCCTCTTTGGTCTTTTCCATAACCTTGAACCTTCCAAGTTGGAAGGCTGTCGGTTAGCGCTACGGAGATGTGTTAAAGCTAGGTGTCAGGACGTCGAATGTTTCAGTACTCTGTCAGTTTTGTGCCTAGTTATTGCACTTTCTGACTGTATATAGTATCATGTTACAGTGATGGAGAGTTACTCTTAACTCGTATCCATATGTCCTTTTCTCTTCCACATTTATTTATGGCTCAACATCCGAGTTTCAAATTATTATTATTATTATTATTATTATTATTATTATTATTATTATTATTTGTGCTCCCGCGTCAATGGGCTCGCCCAAATTCGCTTGCACCGAACCATGCGAAAAAAGGCCGCCAGCAGGCAGGCAGGCAAAGAAAAATAGAAAATGGTGTCACATAAACTAATACAAACAAGAATATCATTATTGATGACATTAATATACTGAATGAATGGCAAAGGCCATGTGAATACGGATAATACGGATAATCAGAGTACCAACAACAAAGAATGTAGCTCAAACCATTGCAGTGCCAACTTCCTTCACCAGTACTCTGCCTTGTACGCATCTGTAACTGCGTTGCACAGATATGTCCATTCACGGCAATCCAGTGCTCGCTGAGCCATCAGCTGCAAGTCCCTTGGAGTCCTCAGACGGCAGCCGACTCGCTCCGCGTCTTGATTCAGCAGGACTGGTAACGTGATCCGCGGCCGCCCACGGTATCCCGGCACGGAGCAGCCAAATAATCCACTCATGGCCTCCCTAGCCGGTGTGTGCTCATCTGATCGCAGGATGTGGCCAAACAACCGCCATCTTGCATTCACCAGAATGTTGCCAAGTGGAGCAGCACTGCAGCGCTCGTAAACCAAATCGTTCGACAGTCGGTTGGGCCACCTGATACCCAAGATATGCCGAAGTTGCTGCCGATGATACGATTCCAGCGCTTCAATTGTCTGTTGAGTGATGCCCCATGTGGAGCAGTTGTAAAGCAAGATAGGTAACACGAAGCAGTTATACAGCCGGACGCGCACCTCCAGACTCACTTGGTCTCTTCTCTTCCATAACTGGCAGAGGGACTTAAACGCTATCGCCGCAAGCTGCTTTCTGCGGGTGACATCCTCTGCATCACCAAGGAGAGAGCCGAGTTTCTTGACCATACGCCATGGCTCATCAGCACGATCGGCCTCTCGCTGGATGGCTGTGAATTCTGTCTTGGTCTGGTTGACGGTAAGAGACCATGTACCCAAGATGGTGGCAACTCGTGGCTCTAACATCCGAAGCCAATCACTAGAGATACTGATGAAGTCCACATCATCGGCGTACTCCACATCGTACGGTAGATGCCGGGCCACAGGTGCAGCCATTCGCTGTCGCACATCCTGCAGGGCAGCTTCCAGGTAGATCACGAATAGAATTGGCGACAAGGAGTCGCCTTGCGGGGTACCAATGTTAGTGGAGAAAGAGCTTGATGTTTCCGTGCCCAGTCTGACTGCCAAATTCGTATCTGAGATCAGGTAACGGATCAAGCGTACCTCGTCTTCTTCCAAGAATCGCTGAACCACGTCCATCAACTGTCCTCGCCTGATCGTGTCAAAGGCACGTGACATGTCGATGCCCAGTATGCTGAATGACCAGTGGTACCGCTGGGTCGTAGCTGCTAACCACCGATGGCACCAGACCACATCAGCTGTTGACCTTCCTGCACGAAAACCACAGTTCAGTGATAGGAAATCGTTTACGGCTGGCGAGATGCGCTTGAGGACTACCAGCGACATGACTTTGCGTAGAGTTGTCAGGGGGATGATCGGTCGCAGACTGGTTAAAGCACCCACCGGCTTTCCGGGCTGATTGATGGTAGATGGAGAAAATCTCCATCTGACACACTGCTAATCTTAAATAGCAACAACCAAGAAAATTATTTGAAGTCTCTCCTCGCGATGAGCCGGTTCAGAATATTCTGATCCAATGGTCAATACACAAAAAATACAACCTGCAAAATTGGACTTGTCAGTTTACTCCCAAGTGCAGTTTGGCATATGTTTTGTATGAGAAGAAAGTTGAAGCTACAAGTTACAGTACAATATCCACTAACACCACCAGTTACTGGACAATCAGCTCATGCGATAACATTGCACCACACTGACCGACGGTACTGACGTTCTACACCTAACCGCCGATCAGCTCTAGCACATCTCGGATGTTATTCGTTAGAATTGCACCTCGTTAACCCTCACAAATCGATAGATGGCTAACTGCAATTGACGACAACATGTAAGTTGGCTGTCATAGTACATGTGACTTACAATGACACGTGGGCTCTTGCATGAAACTCAAACTGCCGTTGTTACCATTGCATATAGCCGTGGCATTGCCCCTCAGGAAATATCCCACGTTGCATGCATACTCAGTAGACTCTTCAGCTTGCAATACTGATGCATTCGAGGTGGCGTTCGCTATCGCAGGAACACTGCAGTTCAGGTCTGGAAACAAAGTTAAATAATGACACAGTAAAGGTGGAAAGAGTATTTATTTTATAGAAGAAATCACATGATGTACATCATTCCTTTACTAGGGGGACCATTGTTATTAGGCTAGGGCCTGTTTTAGACTTCCCACTCTAAATAAAGAATACAAGCAAACATGTGTTATCATGTTTCGTACCATACCTGGCGCTATCCCGTGCATGTCCCGTACAGTGACTGAGGGTATCATGCAGGGCGATAGCGGGGATTCCCATGCTTTACATGAAAAGCAAGTTAAAAAATAAATGAGCCTTTCAACATCATCATCATCATCATCATCATCATCATCATCAGCCCTTTCGCGTTGGCATCGGCGTTCCCCTAGCCTTCGCTTGGGCCACACCCAATGTTAGACATGACACCAGAAGAGAAGGGGAGAAAAAGAGAAAGGAAGCAAAACCAAAAACGGAAGAGGGGAAAAATATAGGTGAACAAACACTTGATCATATGCATACTATTCAAAGACACTAACAATGCAACACGCTAGTGCAGCACTAGCACATTGCAAGTAGCCATAAGTAAGTTAGACCTGTTCAGTGGTACACATAATTATTTCTTCTCGATGATATCATTAACCAGTTGACGCCACCCGGATCTCGTGCGTCCAATTTCACGCAATGAGCCTTTACCATAGCGTAAAATTATAATATAACTTATTGGCGAACTGTGGAGCGGGGGCTCTCTCCGAAACCCATGCACATAAGTGGGTTGCCGCGGACATGTGAATAATGATAATGAGAGGGCAGCACGGGAGCTCTCGCTATGCTTCGTTTATAATTGCTAGCCCTGAAACGAATGCTCAATGAAGGGAACGAATATTCTTTTCCGAATACATGCGAAACGAAGAATATTCCGAATATTCTAAACCATACAATTTCCATGGACACCTAGTTTTATCCATGGTAACCATAGACCATTAACTGGCATACACCTCAATCACAAGGGAGACATTCGAAAAATCCTTTAGTTTGCTGACTATAACACATCGAAAGAGGCAAGCCTACTTATAATTTGCACGAAAATAATAAGCTTGATCGATGTCAAAAAGGCGAGTTTCTTAACATTTACGAATATTCCTATTCTACTTTAACGAAGAATATTCTTTTTCCGCCTTGCATATTTCGAATATTTCTTTCAGCTTCCTTTTTCTTCACTAGTTAATTTGAGGGAAAGAGACAAACGGGAAAAGTCTGAAGAAAAAAATTGACTGTCACCATCAGGACTCGAACCAGGGACCTTCGCTTGTAGCTTCCTTTTTATGAGTTTTATTCATTTCAGCTTGGTCATCAAAATCCTAGCAGTACCAGGACGTGTGGAAGCAGCTTTTGATTGGTCTGGCCATAAGCTAGGCTTTCATACAGTGTGATGTGTATGATATCTAGTGTATACACATGACCTACTCAGCAGTACCGGTAAACACACATTGTTAGCCAAAAAGCTGAGCCGGCCAGGCCTCGACCAAGCGGACCGGTTCCGCCCAGCCTGAGCACTAGGCCTTAGCCTCATTTCTTTTTTTCTGTCTTATTTTGCTAAGAAGTTTCTTTTCACATAGCATAATGTCGCGTATAAAAGCAGGTGCTTACGGGCATATAAGCCGAGGCTCGGACCATGCTTCTATACAAGTTATGCTTCTATTCGAAACATGCTTCTACGTCAACATCATCAGTCTGCAATGTGCAGTACATACTGCCATGCATGTATGTGCACAATGTACTTTGCAGGGAGCGGCTTCTATTCAAACAATGCTTCTGTGTTATTGCGAGCTTCAAAAAACGGCTTCTATTCCAGTCATGCTTTGTTATGGTTTGCATGCATGTTATGTGCAACGCCACAGTCCTAGATTACATGCTTGCTATGTGTAACCTCATTATCATGTCGGTTGTTTCACAACAGCCGACGGGACAACAGACGGACGGAGCGAATCGAGTTCAGGGCAAGTTCTTCAGTCAGTCGAGAGGGAGTCGAGAGAGAGCGTTCTTACTCACTAACACAACTGACAACGGGAACAGGTAGGTTGACGGGAACGACATTTAATATAGACCACGAGACAAGAGACCAAGAGGAACGAAACGACTACATTGTGATTATTGAAGAGAGCGAGATCGACTGAGAAACAACGCAATATAAAGGGCCTGAATAGCTATGGCAAACATGGGAAACGGAACGAAAGGTGAGTATGACGTAGTACGGGTGCATGCAGGCCGGCCAGCTTAGGAAAGGTTGTAGGTAAGATTGTACGGGAGGAGGTAACTAACAATCAGATTATCTTAGCTACTGTTCCCATCCGCGTAGTTACTGTTGCTATGCAGCACTCTCAATATCTAGAGAGTGCTCATGTGTGTAATGTGCTTCTCCTTGGATCCATCTTGGCTTCCTGTGCTGCATGTCTTTCCTCTCTGGTTTTACCTTTACTTCCATGTTCCCTTTCAATGCAATGTAATTCTAAACTCTCCGACCCGTGTGTATCACTGGAACTGTGTATGAGTAGTGTGCGGGATGAATGCGAACCACATAATATACGGGTCATACTTTTATACACGGCACTAAAGTATTTTCTTTCCACCTATGTCTCCCTGCCCAGCTTTCACATTCCTTAGTTGCTTGGACCTCATTTGTTTCCTTGTCATTGGACATGTTCAGTACGTTCTGTTTGCAAATTCAAATAAACACAACCAACCACCCAACCAACCACCCACCCAACCAACCAATCAACCAACCACCCGACCAACCAACCAACCACCCAACCAACCAACCAACCAACCAACCAACCAACTAACCAACCAACCAACCAATCAACCAACCAACCACCCAACCACCCAACCAACCAACCAACCAACCAACCAACCAACCAACCAACCACCCAACTAACCAACCAACCAACCATCCAACCAACCAACCACTCAACCAGCCAACCAACTAACCAACCAACCAACCAACCACCCAACCAACAACCCAACCACCCAACCACCCAACCACCCAACCACCCAACCACCCAACCACCCAACCACCCAACCAACCAACCAACCAACCAACCAACCACCCAACCACCCAACCACCCAACCACCCAACCACCCAACAAACCACCCCTCCACCCAACCAACCAACCAACCAACTAACCAACCAACCACCCAACCAACCAACCAACCAACTAACCAACCAACCAACCAACCACCCAACCACCCAACCAACCAACCAACCAATCACCCAACCAACCAACCAACCAACCAACCAACCACCCAACCACCCAACCAACCAACCAACCACCCAACCAACCAACCAACCACCCACCCAACCAACCAACCAACCAACCACCCAACCAACCAACCAACTAACCAACCAACCAACCAACCAACCAACCACCCAACCACCCAACCAACCACCCAACCACCCAACCACCCAACCAACCAACCAACCACTCAACCAGCCAACCAACTAACCAACCACCTAACCACCCAACCACCCAACCACCCAACCAACCAATCACCCAACCAACCAACCACCTACCCACCCACCCAACCAACCACCCAACCAACCAACCACCCCTTCACCCAACCACCCAACAAACCACCCAACCAACCACCCAACCAACTAACCTGGATTATGAGAGTTTTACTTCACAAGAACATTCTCAGTAATAGCTCTAACTACAGTAAAACCTGGTGTTAGCGACCTCTTGGTTTAGCGACCACCAGCTCTAAACGGCCGTTTGTCCCTGCACAGACAGTCCTACACACACACACACACACACACACACACACACACACACACACACACACACACACACACACACACACACACACACACACACACACACACACACCTTGACCTTGACCTTGATCTTGCCCATTGCATACACATTGCATACGCAATGATAGCGAATGTCGGAAAGTTCAATTGAGAACACGAGCGCAGAACTTGGCATGTCGTTTCAGGTCTCCTGGTCGACGAAACGGGCGTCCACAGATACATTGAAGAGGATCAGGAGCGGGCCGTGGCGGTGGAGTGCTGCTCGCAACTCGTCTCCAGCCGGGACGATCTTGGGAACTCTCAAGCCAGGTGGTCACGCCGAGGTCCGCCAGGTCAGTCGACACCACATCTCGCCACTTCTTTTTCGGGCTGTGACGAGGACGGGGGGGGGGGGGGGGCAGGCAGTTCGCCGAACAGCAATTGCTTCGGTGCGTGCGAGTCGTCCATCCTGCCGACGTGACCCAGCCAACGAAGCCGGTGGCGACGGATGATGCTGGTGATGTCAGGGTCAACACCGAATGTAGCCGCTAATGTGGCCGTTGAGATCCGATCATCCCACTGTCGATGACGGCCGATACCCACGATGGACCGAACACACTGATGATGAAACGTGTTAAGCTTCTGGAGGTGGCCTGCCTTGGTGGCCCACGTCTCCGCACCATACAAGAGGGCCGTGAGGACGACAGCCTCATAGACACGCCTCTTGCTGCGAAGCGACAGGGTCTTGTTATCAAAGACAGGAGCTTTGAGGGCTCCGAACACAGCTGAGGCTTTCGCAAGGCGAGAGCGGACATCAGCACAGGCGAGACCATCCGAGGAGAGCACACTGCCAAGGAAGGTGAATTGGTCCACCACCTCAATCGTGTCTGCTCCAAAAACAACGTCACGACGATGAGCAGACTCACCCACAGCCATACCCTTGGTCTTTCTCACACTGACCGTTAGGCCCCAGCTGCTTGCACATGTGATGAAGCTGGAAGTCATCGCTTCGAAGGCAGGCCGAGATGTTGCGTAGAGCGCAGCGTCGTCAGCAAACTGGGATTCCGTGACTGTTGATGACAGGAGCTTCCCCTTTGCCATTCGGTCACCAACTAGCTTCCTCCCGACTTAATATCGAAAGAATATGCCAGCGTCCGGACAACTGGACCTCCAACTGGCAACAATGGCAGAGAAGTACAAATTAAAGAGCATTGGTGCGAGAGTGCAGCCCTGACGCAATCCATTCCGCACAGGTATCGGGTCAGTCAGCTTGCCATCCACCCGAACAGAAGCAATCATGCCGTTGTGGAGTGACTGAATGATGCGGAGCATTGCCGGCGAAACACCAAGCTTCTGGAGAACCTGCCACAGCGCTGCACCAGGGATACTGTCATACGCCTTTCTCAGATCGACGAACAGGACATATGCATCTGAATCATGCTCCAACGTCTTCTCCATCAACTGCCGTGCGACGTACATCATATCGACGCAGCCATGTCCCTTTCTGAAGCCGCACTGAGAGTCTGGCAAGACATCTTCAGGGATAACTTTGAGGCGGTCCTGCAGAATAGGCAAAAGCAGCTTGCCGACAACGTCCAACAGACTGATGCTGTGCCGGTTATCACAGTGGTGTAGATCTCCCTTCTTGGGGACGGGCACAACCACTGCATCACGCCAATCATCGACTACAGTGCCTTCGAGCCAGGATTTACGCATGATGGTCAGGATGCGACTGTGTAGGGCTTTGCCACCATGTAAGACCATGTCCGGTAGAATGCCCGACTGACCGCCAGCTTTACCCGCTTTCATGGTCCGCAGTGCAGCCTCCAGCTCAGCAACATTGGGTGGCTGCCAGCCACACACACACATGCACACACACACACACACACACACACACACACACACACACACACACACACACACACACACACACACACACACCTGGTCCTGGTCCTGGTAAACACTGCCATTACGGTCACGTGTCCCCTCGCGGGGCCGACCACATGGAAACGACGCGCGACGGCAGAAAGTCAGCAGTCTGCCGAGAGATCAGAGACCATGTTCAGTCGGCACGACGAGAGAGCCATCTTCGGCAGCTATGGATTTGGAATCCACGAGAAGAGCGGCAGCACCGACCACAGGCCCCACAGTGGGCCTTGCAGCATGAAAGGGCGAGCCACACACACACACACACACACACACACACACACACACACACACACACACACACACACACACACACACACACACACACACACACACACACACACACACACACACACACACTGTGGGATCTGGTTCAAAAGACCACCTGGCTTTAAAGACCGATTTTGCTTGCACGGTGGGGTGGTCGCTCAAACCAGGTTTTACTGTATATTCACAAGCACTTTTGTTTTCTTTTTTACTAGACACACATCCCTACCAAGAGACATGAGGAGACAAACACAAAACAAGACACAGGGCATGTAGGGACGACGTGCCGATGTACATAGAGCAACTCGACCGACCACATGGCCAGCAATCGAGGACATCTGAGAGTTGTAATTTTTGTACTCCCCGAGGTGTGGTTTTTGGCGTGCTGGGCCAAGCACAAGGAAGCCATCTGCCAAAAAATGAGGAAATGGTTGTTGTTTGATCCTTTGGTGTAAACGTTGTAGCTAGTCGAAGGAAGTTGCTGTTTGGAGCAGAAGCGCTGAAATTGACTATTTTCTGCATGTACTCATACATGTACTCATGTACTCAGGCATGCAGTCTCACTCGTATTTAGCTCTTTTTCTGGAATGTAGGCTGCTCTGCGCCCCTTGGTGAACATTTCCTGCACTCGTGGAGCAGCTGAAAAGGACCACTGGTATGTCTGGTTCCTGGTTTGAAAGTGGAGAGTCGACTTTTGTGCCTTGAAAAAGGAGTAGAGAGTGATAAAGGTACGTCTGTGGCTTATTCTTGAGTGCTCCTCGTACAATTTTGATCGTGATAGAAATTCTCAGACCAAAGTCAGCGCGAAGATGGCCGTACAGTTTTATTGTGGATTTTTTAGTTGTTTCGTCGTGTATCTATGTCAGTATCATGATGGTGAAGTGGAGAGGGTGATTTTCTTCCTCTCGGCTTCGTTCGGCCGACTTTGCTTCGTCCTCATTGAAAAGTGATCCGGAAAAAAAGGTCGATTAGCGTATTTATGTTGATTTTGAATGTACGTGATGACATGCGATTGCTATGAGAGGTCTCGGTGTTAGCGTTGCAACCTGGCATCGAAAAAAGAAAAGGGGGGGGGGAGGCGGGTTGCATGATCAAGTAGCACTAACACATACTCACAATCGCAGTGAGGTATGGAAGACAGTTGTCTGTCAGCCTGGCAATGTGGCGCGGCATTACCAACGATCCCTTGATTATGTTGAGTGCAGGAAAACGTAACAGTTTCCCACAACGAGATCATGCTCGTCTTGTCACTAGTCCCGTTATCAATAGTAGGTATGATACATTGTACAGCTGGGCATATAAAGAAAACAGCAATTAATTAAGGGCACTAATTTAAAAAACAACAACAAAAAACAGCCTCAATTAAAAGATTAAAACCACCGTCAACAAAATCATCACCAAAACACCAAATGCAACAACAACAACAACCCCATGTACACTCTCTTTCTGCATACCCCTCGCAGTGTTCAACCCTCGTTGAATCTACTTTGCTCTCGTACTTACAACTTGCCATTATCAAGGACTGATCGCTGTCTCCATTCTCCCCTGTATACGGCCCTTCATTACTTTAACCCTTTCATTGCTAATGACGAGATATCCCACCTGTAATGTGTACCGGAACGGAGGATGACGAGATATCTCGGAAGTGGCCATTTTTTTGGTATTTCATCTATACATACCCGCCAACACTAACGCTCTCGTACTTGTCCCATACATATTGCTCCTGACGTCACGGCTGCTATGGAAACAAATTGAACTGTTGCAGAGCTTTTCTCACTGACTGCAAATCGCTGTTGCCCGTTACTACTCAGATCGGGTCCAATCAATCTTTAATCGAAATTCTGTTGATCCACATCACGTGACCTCCCGGATCGGATGCAGATCATGTGAAGTATCTAAATAGTTGTATCTTCAGTGCTAGTGGGAGTCTGTAGCTACAACCGTAAATACAAAGTGTCATGGCTGAGGTATATTGCTACAACCAAGATGGGAGATAGAACTGGTGCAATAAATAGCAAGCTGTATACATTCACTTGCTCAGGCCTGACGTATGCTGTCAGAGGGAAAATGTCACATCTCTCACACGGTACACGTAGATTCTTTCCACTCCCACTCACTGTTGCACCCTCGCTGCTATTGTAGTGTTTCTAACCAATAATCATGACATACGAGGATATTCACAAGGCAAGTATATCAATGGCAGAAAGAGCTTTTCGGAAGGGACCAGGGAAACCTATCACTCTAAAATCAGAGGGGAGAGCGTTCCAGAGAATGCTTCCCCGAAACATCATGGTCGATCGTCCCGCAGGCCCACGAAGAAAGGGAACTTGAAGCAAGTTCGACACTTGTCCCCGTGTGTACTGTAAGTAATTAAATTGAGCTTTGGTTGACAGCAGGCAGCTGTCAAGTTACTGTAAAATAGACCATGCCGGGGCTAGGTTTCTTATCATATCGGATTTCTAATCATATCGGGTTTCTTATCATATCGGGTTTCTTATCATATCGGGTTTCTTATCATATCAGGATTCTAATCCAAACCCTAGCTTCGACCTAGCTGCAGCTCTCCTGACGCCCTCGTTTTCTACACCTGACCATGAGTTTGATCTGCCAAGAATAACTGAAGAAGAAGTCTTCCGAAAGCTCCGAACACTTCCAGCAAGAAAATCCACCGGAGGACTGATAACAAATAGAATCCTGAAAGAAACTGCGCCCGTGATCACGCAGTCCTTGTGTCAGCTTCTCAACCTCAGTCTACGTCTCGGACAACTACCAGTAGACTGGAAAACCGCCACTGTTATCCCGATATTCAAGAATAATGGACAACCGGCAGTACCCACCAGCTATAGACCAATCTCCCTCCTTCCGGCCATTGCCAAGCTCCTAGATTCGATCATCGCGGAGCACCTGTCGAGGTACCTATCCAGACAAGACATAATCTCTGCCCACCAGTATGGTTTCGTCCGCCGGAGGTCAACACTGGATCAGCTCGTCATGCTGACATCTAGGATAGCCAAGGCGATGGACAAGCGGAGCACCTACCACACCCTGTTCCTGGACTTCGCTAAGGCGTTCGACAAAGTGCCGTATCCAGTTCTCCTCTACCATCTGGGCACGTTTGCAACCCAGAACGCACTTTCGTGGTTCTCCAGTTACCTTGGTGACCAGCAATTCACGTTCAAAGTCACTTCCTCCGTATCCACAACCCGCCCTATAGCCGTTGGCGTACCACAAGGATCCCATCTCGGCCCTATCCTGTTCCTTCTGTACATCAACTCTCTCCCGCAGACCATCCCAGATGAGGACCACTGTCAAGTTCTTCTCTTTGCCGATGACACGACCATTGGAACGGAAGTCGCTGCACCTACCACTCCCTCTTCCCAGCATCATAGTCACCCACTCCAAGTTGCCACGGATGCCACCCTGAAATGGGCCGACTCGGCAGGTGGACGCTTTAACCCCACGAAGTCCTTCCAAATGACGTTCTCCCCACGTACCAACGGACCGGACCCTCCAAACATCGGGCACCTGCGAATGAACCAGGAAGAAGTGCGCGCGGTCGACACGCACCGACATCTTGGCGTGCAAATTGATAGCCACCTCAACTTCCAGTGCCACATCGAAACAATCACCACCAATTTTCGCCAACGCGTGGTACTACTTGCCCACATGTCGAGCCGCCTAACGCCGGAAGTTACAAACCGGTTTTATACTGGTTATGTCCGACCCACCATTGAATACGCCTCGCCACTGTGGCAGTTCCAACTGTCCGCATCCCAAGCAGCGGTGCTTGAGCGTCTGCAAGCCAGATTGGCACGAGTCGTCTTGAGACAGTACGGTGTGTTTCCCTCCGCTACTGAACCGAAGGCATCTCTGTTCGCGCACCTGCAATGGCCCAGCCTGGCATGGCGGCGACACATCCAGTGCCTCCGGGAGCTCCATCACCTGGTCCACCACCAGACTACTGCCCTTATGGAGCTGGGCTAAAGTCTCTCCACCAGCGCGCGGCGCCCTCTCCAACTTGTACCGCCTGCCAGGGCGAACAGCTACTCGCGTGCCACCTTCCTCTTTGTTACCGCTGCCACCTGGAATTCTCTCCCCACTGACATTAGAACCACTCAAAATAGTCATTGCTTTGTGTCTCGTGTCCGTGCCATCTCTGCCAACACCCGCTTCGAACCCGCTGGTTTCATTCCTTCCAGAGTTTCTATAACATAGTAAAGAATGGTATGGCTGATTTCTACAGCATGCATTTGCTATAACCCTTCCTCTTCTCAATCTATATGTTATAATTTTGCAGATATATTCCCAGTAAGCCATGAACGGAGACCCCCTCGACTTAGGCCTCGGCCTTTGGGGAATCCATAAATAAAAAATAAAAAAATAGAATCTCCATGTCGGGTTTCTAATCATATCAGGATTCTACTCAACGAGGTGTTTCTATGTGCGTCAACACAAGAATCAGGCTTATGCGCCCACTGTCGTGAGAATCATCCTTCAAAACAGGCTGTCTATATGAGACAGGCTTTAATACAACACACTACAGTAATATAAATCGGATACTGAGCCAAAAAAACATAATCGCATGGCAATGAGTAGTTTAAGAAGCAACTATCCACAACTGTAACAAAACAATAAGCAGTCAGAAAGTGCGGTGAATGTCTCAGTAACATGTCAGTGTTGTGCCCTGTTATCACACCTACTGACAGCTTTTTGGATACAGTCATGGATAGTTGCTTCATAACCCATTTCCATGTCATTAAGAAGGGTTTAAGTCTATATACACACGAGTATGCCCATAGAGCCACTAGCATTCCTACACCTTAGTATGCCCATAGAGCCACTAGCATTCCTACACCTTAGTATGCCCATAGAGCCACTAGCATTCCTACACCTGAGCAGTAATTGCACATCACACTTTCCTTTGAAGTTTCATTGTCTCATTCCATGTGTCTATATTCTATTCCCCTCCCCCTTCTCCCTCCCCCCCCTTAATGTGCTACCTATTCAATATCGCACATATGGAGAACACTTTGATAGGCTACCCGCCTCTGGGTCGTCCCTCAAAATATGATAATGATAATAATTATTTCTACTGCCTCCGCGTCATCGAAATTTTCGCAGGTTGACTAGTGACTTGTGACTTGTTACTGACAACTCCATAAGCTAAACCATACAAAGATTATCCAAGGTTAAACTTACCGGTGCAGGTATGGATTTGCGTAGTTGCATTACTGCACACTGGTTGTGCATGAAGGTATTCATAACCACGTTCACACGTGACAGTACCGTTCTCTGAAATACTAGTTATTCTGTCTCCAGTCGTACGTTGACAAGCTTGGAGCACAAATAGAACAGTGGAAAATCGAATGATCAGATTGGGCAGAAAACATTAAAGGATTATGGGGATATCCTTTGGCATGAAAATGTCCCCTGATTCTACCTATGATGGCTCCTGATTCACTATAGGTGATATATGGAGCACATGTGCGGTTCATCCACCATCCGTAGGGGACTCAATTTGCCGAAAGCAAAGAGTGGAATACACAGACAGAAGAAACATCAGTTATGGTTTCGTAATTCTGAGTTTCACGTACTGAATTAATTATCAGACTTAAACTGGTAGTGACCCTGCCCTGAGAATACTGTTAGTATACATATACCATGAATGCGGCAAGCCTAGCATAACAAGCACGATATAGAATGCGTCAGAAAGCATAAGTTATCTGTGGGATACTATCGATGTCGGATGTCTTTCGCGCTGCCACATTCTGCTGTATTGTGTGTCCGGGGTGCTCAGTTGGCCCGTCCCCGTCCAGTTCACATGCTTAGTGAGTTGGCGATGATGGAGGGTCGGGTTCCCTTGCCGTGATTAGTGCTGCACCAAGCTTCTTTTGTGCCAAAGTACTGTAAAGTGACAAACTTCCGCGGCGTGCAAATTTAGCGTTTTCATAAATCGGGCTGGTTTGCGATTCTATCTCTTCAGTCGGATCTTGTACTGTCTACAATCAATGCTCGGAGATGTTTGCGGCGATTTATACTCGCGAATATGTGATGATCGTGAGAATAGCGAAATTTAATCCCTACAGTCACTTTCAAAAAGATTAGCAATCCTGGCGATCGCCCGGGGAGTTTGCCGTCTTACCGTATGCGTGCTCGAGAGCTGGCTGGAAAAACTCACTTTGAACTCGAAGAAATAATCCGCGCGAAAGCATGAAAAATGACAACTCACTCACGTCAGTACATGTACGTCTGGTTTACAACAAACGAGTTCTTCCTCGTATCGATATGGAGTCAGAGAGGACATGTCGAAAGTGTGGTAAATGTTGAAGAGCGGGATGGGTCCCAATTCGTTTCGTGCCCAATTTCTTTGAGCTGCGATGCAGTTTACTCTCACGATGTGACGAAAACGACATCAACACAGACTCATTCCCTAGGCCATGACTTGGCAAAAGCTATCCGTGTGACTTCGACGATATTTTGAGAAAAGCAGCCGCCTGTGAAAGCTGATAGAAGACGGTGTTGACTCCTTAATTCAACCAAATTGGCGATCTTGAAATACTAAAATAATTCTCAAAGAGAAATCGATCGATCGATGTGCCATTGTATTCAACAACACGTAGCTACAGTGCAATGACTTCCGTGTTCACTCACACCGTTTCAGTGTTGTGGGTGTGTTCACATGGCGTGAACAGTAAGTTCAGCAGAAAACACGAGCAACAACAACAAGTCGTTTAGCGCATGGCTTGTACTTTTTGTACCAGCGTGATCACCAAAACAATGAAAAAAAAGTTTGACTTGAAGATAGTTTGGGATTTGAACTCACAACTTCATGGCCAGCAGACAGCATTTATAACCACAAGGCCAAAAAGGAAAGGATAAATCGTGGGTTTTGATAAAAAATTGATACTGACATCCAGGGCAAATTGTAAACCATGGGAAAAGGCCGGAAACCTGGCCGAAATTCTAACTCCTTAACGGCTGGTCCAATTGTTCCTTAGCCTTCACAGAACAATTTGCCGTGTCCTAACAAGCCATTCTATGTACTTTGTTGTGCAAATTTCCCTTATCTTCTTACTTTTAAAGACCAAAACCTGATTACTAATCCTTTTGAAATGGACTATAGTGAAAGTTTCTCACTTTACAGAATATTATATTATTATTCTTATATTTGCTGGGATGACGACTACACCATAGCTCAGTGGTTAGAGCATCGCTGGCTTCAAGCGAAGGTCCCTGGTTCGAGTCCTGGTGGTGACAGTCAATTTTTTCTTCAGACTTTTCCCGTGCATCTGCCGCTAGGGTTTATCGGGTGTTAGCGGCCGTCGTGAGTTTCCTTCGGGAACGTGAGTTCACTTCGGGAACAGATACGATAATTTACTTTTTGTCCCGTTTGTCTCTTTCCCTCAAACCAGCTAATATTCTTATATTTGGACTCAGATGGAGAGCCAAGGGTAAATTTATAGAAAAGAGAAAAGACCAAGGAACCACAAGTTCCGCTATACTGTCCACTAACACCACCAGTTACTAAACAATCAGCTCATGCGATAACATTGCACGACACTGATCGACGGTACTGACGTTCTACAACTAACTGGCTAACATGTCTAGCACATCTTGGATGCGCACTCCAACAGCCTTCCAACTTGGAAGGTTCTGACAGGAGATCAGTCATAACCAACTTTCGTCTGGGCTGAACGCGAACTGGCTTCTCTCCCGCCTTGCAAAACGAGATGAAGTCAAACTCATTTGAATTTTCGGTTTGTACGGTGTTTGCAGCAGTGCGGATTCGATTCTCCTCATGCATGTTCCTGACGATGACCCTGAGTACGTTGTCGTGCCTCCAGGTGTAACGTCCCTGGTCCAGCGCTACGCGACAAGCGCCAAGCACTTGGCATGTAGTACAGACCCAGGCATGGCACAAACTACAGTACGGATCCACTACGGTGTTTCCCCAACGCCGTAGGTTTGTCGGAGAAGGTAGCACGTCGAGGGTTGATGCGAGAAGAAATTTCAAATCCTTACCAGTACCACCGTACAAAAGGGATTTCCACGAGAGGTCCTGCCACATCACCGATGTCCACTCCAACCACTTGCCTTGCACCTGAAGAGTCTTCAGCCTCAAAATCTGCTCCTGCGCGTTGATCTCCTCAAATGTTTGAAAGAGATCCTTCCTCGGGGGTTTGGAATGCTGCTTCGGAGCACGAGCACCCAACCCTGGACGATGACTTCAAGATGACGGTGGACGGAGAGTCCCTGAACCTACTGATACCTCTGCACACTCCAGCTCTATTGTCACCGCATATTGCTTTGTCAGCTTCGCATCCTTACTCCGACTCAGAGTGTACAGCGCCCTCATGAGCGTGTCCCCACTCGATCGAAGAATGTGCCATTTGATGGACTGGCACTTTTCCACACTGTAGGAAGGTAGTGGAGGCGTAAGCCAAAGCGTTTGCGACTGCCAATAAAAAGAGTGGCAGAGTTTGCGCATCGAGGTAGGCATGACCATTTCTTCAGAAATGAGAGAGAGAGAGAGAGAGAGAGAGAGAGAGAGAGAGACAGACAGACAGACAGGCAGGCAGGCAGGCAGGCAGACAGCCAGACAGACAGACAGACAGACAGACAGACAGACAGACAGACAGACAGACAGACAGACAGACAGACAGACAGACAGACAGACAGACAGACAGACAGACAGACATACAGACAGACAGACAGACAGACAGACAGACAGACAGACAGACAGACAGACAGACAGACAGACAGACAGACAGACAGACAGACAGACAGACAGACAGACAGACAGACAGACAGACAGACAGACAGACAGACAGACAGACAGACAGACAGACAGACAGACAGACAGACAGACAGACAGACAGACAGACAGACAGACAGACAGACAGACAGACAGAGAGAGAGAGAGAGAGAGAGAATGAGAATGAGAATGAGAATGAGAATGAGAATGAGAATGAGCATGAGAGATAGATAGATAGATAGATAGATAGAGAGTCGAGAGAGAGAGCCCCGGGAGCAGGGTTGACTGGATCCATCGGATCCAAATGTGACGTTTGTGCGTATGTGGCGGGTAAAAATCATTTTTGTACTCATTGTCGTACGTCTGGTCGACTTTCGTTGACTTTTCGTATGACACGGGTGAACAGTACGACTTTTACCCTTTTGGATGACCTGGCAGCGCCATTTCCTACTTCGTCAAAATGGCAACAACCAAGGTCCACAAAAAAGTGATCGGCTAATTTTTTTAAACCATTGTGTTATTTGCCCGTAAAAGAGGCCTGGAAAAACCAAAATGTTACATGTTATCCGTACTTTGTGTCCAACATTTAACCCTTTGGAGTCCATGGTTCGATTTCGAACCATGGGCATTTTGTATGCATGTGGGCGCAGTCAAACTTTCGGTTCTCGGCCAAATTTTATAAGCAAGATGTTGTGTAGTTACAACCGTCTGACTACACAACATCTTGCTTATAGCTGTTACTTTTGGACACAAACTTGGGATAACATGTGACATTCATTTTGGTTCTTTCTTTTCACTTTCATCCTTGTTTGAGCTGCACTGCTGGCAGGCGGGTCGTGCTGTTCCAGTACGCCGTGAAGCGCAGTTGCCACAAGTTGATATTGATAACCTGGCTTTGGAGATTTTCATTTTCCATTGCTATCAGGTTCGGCTTAATTTCCTCTGTGCTGAGCTGATGAGTCCACCAAGGACGAAACAGTTGTCCGCAGATTGAGTATTGATAACGTCCATTTTTTGCTGGCAAGAACTGGCGATTGGCCGTGACGATCGTGGCCAAATACGTCGACAGGCACTCGTGAAACGCGGTGAGGAACAATGTAACACAGACCATTCCTGAACACTGTCCAGGTCTCAACTCAAATGCTACCGTCATGCAGCCTACGAAGCACAGTTCTGCGTTCGGATTCAAATAAATGCTAGTGCGCCAAAAGAGCAACTTGCTCTTTTGACATATGAGGGGCTAAGGAGTTGGAACGTCGCCGGAGCTGCACTGACTGCAACTGTATCGGGCCGCAATAAATCGAAGTCCACGAACTCACCTCTCTGGACACGATCAAGAAGGGCCCATTGAGGACATTCAGGTTCACCTGCTGTTGGTGCTGCATTCGCATATGGCGGTCATCACTGCAATGGGCTCCCAGTAGGGTCCGGTCTGCTGGCGGCGAGCGGTGATACGGACCCAAATAGAGCGAGGAGAAGCTGGGTGGCGTTGGTGACGACAGTGGACAACTAACGTTGTTACTTCCAACAGAAAATCAAAGTCCACGAACTCGCCTCTCTGGATACGAATTACGATCGTCACGCTCGCGCCTGCTGTTGCAGTGATGCCGGTGCTGCGTGGCGGCCGTCGCTGCGTTCGCAGTAGGCGGGCGGTGGAGCCAGGTAGAGCGAGGAGGTCTGGAGAGGCTGGACGCCGGTTGGTGACGACGACATTGTTTCAAGGCCCAAACAAGGGTCGCTGAGGTACTTCCTTTCAGGAAAACTGATGATGGTGCAAGCTAAAAGTCCACAGTCAACGTTCCACTGTAGATGACATTGTTTCAGGCACCAACAGGCGTCATTGAAGTCTGAATTTGAAGCGTAGAGATACGAGAATGCAAGCTTGAACGTCTAAACGCAAGGAAATTGTTTGGGAACACATGTTCCGTAAGTTGCACACTCGAAAGTCAAAACAGCAATGACATGCAAGAGACATTGTACAGGATTTTGAAGGGCGCGTGCCCACGTGGCTCGCACATGCGTGCAGGTTGGGCCAGCTAGCTGGGCTGGCTGCTAACTCGCGTTAGCATGCTAACGCTCATAATATTATATCCATCCGCGCCCTGCTGTTCATGCATGGTAAAATTAATATTACTGCTCCTAAGAAATGATGAAAAAGAAAAAACTGGTATGACAAACCATTTCTTTCATCATTGCTTAGTTGCCATGCCATCATTCATGATCCACAGCAGGAAGGTAGCAATGCCTGAAGTCACGGTGAAGCAACTCTATATTATGATATTACATAGTAGCAAAGGCCTTAAAATATTTGTTTGCCCCGAGAGGTTAGCCCATCGGGCTAACCTCAGCCTGCAACAACACAACGAGAGATAGCGTCTCATGTGGGAAAGACAAATTCACTGATGTCATAAGGTGCGTGTGTCCCTCACGTATTTCGCATGTTACGTATACTGATTTGTACAAGTAACGAGTGGAAGAGTGTGCGCCTGGTTTTTGCGTGACGTATGCTTCAGAATTCTTTGATCCAACACGAAACTGGTCGATCCAGGCTACACGGTTGGCACCGAGCAATGTTAACGCGCAATTGCTCAGGTAAGCTTTTGCACTTAGTAATCTACCATTATACAACTTGCATATATAATCGCCATCTGTAAAGTTGAAAAGCTTGTTGTCGTGTGTCCGTTGTAGGACTGCACCCACTTCAGGACAGTAGCTGTACCCAATCAGAGAAGAATCTAGAGAGGAGCACAAAACAAAGAATATAAGGGGTCGTAGGTATTTTTTGAAAAATTAAAAAATCCGTCCTCAGGCAAAAAGGGGGTGGGTGGTCAAGAGCGTTGGCGGAATTTGAATATTTTTGATTTTCATACTTTCTCTTCCCTTCAGTGACTTTCATACACTTGTTACAGTGACTGTAT